AGACAATGAATAGCCTGCCTCTGTCCTTCCTCTATATGTTGTTTTAGCTGGACTCTATAAACACCCACCCACACACACACATGGTGGCTGCAGGCTTTGTGCGAGTGCGCAGTATTGCAAGTTAGAATTCATTGCCTTGGCCTGACTCTTCTTCCTGAACCCAGACCTTAAGACATCCTGCTGCTGTTCCCCTTCGCGACCCACCGCCCACAGCGCCCCCACCCTTGCTTAGCCCTATTAGTCATGGAGAGAGGCTGGCTCGCCTAGTGAGTGACTTTTCTTTGTTTTAAACTTTTAACAGGAGAAGACCACTGAACAGATCGCAAATTTTACATGAGCTTTTGCCTGTTTTCAACCACCTGCCATTTCCAAAAGATGCCTCCCTAAAAAAGTGCTTTCTTCTTCACCCAGAACCTGTTACGGGGAGTAAGGTAGGGAATTTTGAGAGAATTTAGAGCTAGAATTTTCCTCACGTGGAGGCTAGACTAATACTATAATTAAGGATGAATTGAAGGCCGACGCCGCAGCTCACTAGGCTAATCCTCTGCCTGCGGTGCCGGTACCCCAGGTTCTAGTCCCGGTTGGGGCGCTGGATTCTGTCCCAGTTGCTCCTCTTCCAGTCCAGCTCTCTGCTGTGGCCCAGGAAGGCAGTGGAGGATGGCCCAGGTCCTTGGGCCCTGCACCCGCATCGGAGACCAGGAGGAAGCACTTGGCTCCTGGCTTCGGATCAGCATAGCGTGCCAGCCATAGTGGCCATCTGGGGGGGTGAACCAATGGAAGGAAGACCTTTCTCTCTGTCTCTGTCTCTGTCTCTCTCTCTCTCTCTCTCACTAACTCTGCCTGTCAAAAAAAAAAAAAAAAAAAAGGATGAATTAAGGAAACAACGGCATAATCTAAGGTCTCTCCTCCCGTGGCTAGCCAGAAGACCTGCCACAGCCACCCTGTGAGGAAGCTGTGTTTCTAGCAAGTCTCCTGACCTTGCAGATCTGGGGGCAAGCTACTTTTCTCTGATCAAGGAAGTAGAATCCTGGGACTTGAGGTAGAGCCAGTCTGCCTTCGCTACCTCAGGCCAGAAAGTAGACAGCGGGTAAACAAGCAGTGCGTAAATGAATAGCACAGCTTCCAAGCCCCAGAGAAAGTCAGTGATTCACCCAAGGTCAAAGAGCAAGTTAGCCAGGAGGCTCCCCTCAGCCTCCCCACTGTGACAACTGGATAACCTGCAGAAGGCGGGGGCCTTGGGAGGAGTGCAGCCCTTTCCTACCCCGCCGCCGCCTGAGCCCTCTATCTCGCTAGGCCCTGGAGGGAACCAGGAGGCTGCTCCCGAGTCGGGGTCCGACTTGCTCCCTCGTTGGGCCTCTTTCCTGAAGAAGGTTTTTGAGTATGGACAGGTTTGGAAGAATTGAAAAACATGAATTTCCCTTTGTAAAAAAATTAAAATTTCCCAAACTGTGACTCCCCTACCAACTCTGGGTTGTAGTGTCAGCCTCCTGATACTATTATTTGGCTCCAGATTTGCTGAATTGTGTTAAAGGAATTTACAAGTCATAAAAACAGTCATTCTGTCTAGAAGTAATAACTCTGTCTGCCAGCAGTGGGGTGGAGGTGCTGGGCTCTTGCCTCAGACTTTAAAGACCTTTATCCTGCTGTCTCTGGCTAGAACACAACCCCCTAATATGATTTCATCTTGATGAATATGATATAAATTCTGGGCAAGGGCGTTTCTCTTTATCTCGATTTTCCTGCTTGAAGACTCAAGTTCATTTTACCCATCTGCTTAACAGCAGGGAGCCCAGCCAAAGGAGTAGATGCAGAGTTCCACAGATGCTTATCAAAGGCATCTTGCTGTGTTCTCCAGGGTGTTTTGGGAAGGGGAGTGGCCCAAACAGGCACAAGTCCTGAGAGTCTGGTCTCTCAGAGCACTTGTTTCCCCGCCCTGGCCCCAGTGCTCCTTGCCCCTGGCCTTGTTACCCCACCCTGTTGTCCATGGCCCTGGGCCCTGGGCCCTGGTAAGTTCACATGTCTGGCCTCAGCCTTGGGATAGGAAGGCATGGAGTTGGGATCCAGCCAGCTCGGCGGCACCTGGGGAAGGCGAGGTGAGGGTGCCAAAGCCCAGTGCATGTGCTCCCAGTGGGGCCGAGGCCTGGCCCATGCCCTCCTGCTGTCTGGTTCTTTCCACCTTGGGAGAGGGGGTTCATCATCCTGCCCCCACTCAGGCCATGTGAAAGGAGGATACTTCTACTTTTTTGAGGTTTTCTAGGATTTTTGTCGAGACTGTACATATCAGGGCTCTGCCAGTACTAGTACCTGTCAGCTGTAGGCCAGCTCCCGGCGCCAGGCCCCCAGCCTGCCACTGCAGTAGCCCAGGAATGTGTTGCCGTGGAATCAGAATCATGGTCGTGCTTGGGGACAGGGAAGATGTGGCCCAAACCCGAGGCCCTGAAAGGTAAACACACAATCAGATGTGGCCCGGGAAGTCAGATTTCTGACTCAGCCCCGTTTCCTGTGGATTTCCCTGAAGGACAGGAGCTCGGAGGAGGAGAGGGGAGAGGAAGCCCACGGGTCTGAAGAAAAGGTGGGGGCAGAAGTCCGAGCTTCTCTCTTTAAAGCTCTCCCTTTGCTTCTGTTCCCTGCTGTGTCCCAGCCTCATCCCAGAGTTCACAGCCCCTTGCCTGTTACACAGCAGGTTGCACTGACGCCTGTTGTTGGCGGTAGTATGCGCTCAGAAGTGCAGCGGTTACCTGAGAAGGTACATAGCCTGGCTGTGTCCTAGTATTCAAAATCAGAGGCCAGTCTTGCTGCCATTTGTTTCTGTCTTTCTTTTAAAACATATCCTTTTAAAAATCTTTGACATTCCTCTTGAAAAGGTTTTTAAAAGATCTTGATTTTATTTGTTTATAAGACAGAGAAAGAGAATCTTCCATCCACTGTTTCACTCCCCAAATACCCACAATAGCCAGGGTTGACCAAAACCAGGAGCTTAGAACTCAGTCCAGATCTGCCCTGTGAGTGGCAGGGATCCAAGTACTTGAGCATATTAGCAGGAAGCTAGAGTCCAAAGTGGAACCAGGCCTTGAACTCAGGTACGCTGATGCAGGATGCAGGCATCCCAACTGCTGCTGCCTTTTTTTTTTTTTTCCCCCACAGGCAGAGATAGAGAGAGACAGAGAGAAACGTCTTCCTTTTTTCCATTGGTTCACCCCCCAAATGGCCGCTACGGCTGGCACACTATGCCAATCTGAAGCCAGAAACCAGGTGCTTCCTCCTGGTCTCTGATGCGGGTGCAGGGCCCAAGGACCTGGGCCATCCTCCACTGCCTTCCCGGGTCACAGCAGAGAGCTGGACTGGAAGAGGAGCAACTAGGACAGAATCTGGTGCCCCAACCGGGACTAGAACCCGGTGTGCTGGCACCGCAGGCAGAGGATTAGCCAAGTGATTCGTGGCGCCAGCCCAACTGCTTCTTAATCATTGTACCAAACACATGTCCCTTAATTAAAAGAAAAGCAAGAAGCCTGGTTTTTAGCAGACACGTAGCCTATCTGCTCACCTTGATCTTGCCAAATAGTGCAAACTTGAGCTTGCTGCTTTGCAATTCTTATCAGGACCCTGGTAGAAAGAAATAACACTCTATAGAAGAATGCTCAAAGGGTATGCAGACCATCTACTTACCTAAAGCAATCTGGAACAAGCCAGACCCTCAGAAGATTATATACTCAAACCACCATGTGTTGAATTCTCTTTGAGCAGAACTTGAATTGCAGTGAGGGGAGGCGTTGTGGCACAGTGGGTTAAGCCCCTGCCTGGAATGCCTGCAGCCCACCTCCACCTCTCCTTCTGATCCAGCTTCCTGCTGATGCACCTGAGAGGCAGCAGATGATGGCTCAAGAACTGAGTCCTTGCCATCCATGTAGGAGACCCAGTTGGAGTTCCTGGCTTATGGCTTCAGCCTGGCTCAGCCCTAGCTATTGTGGGCATTTGTGGGGTGAACCAGCTGATAGAAAATCTCTTTCTCCTGCTTTCTGTCATTCTGCCTTTTAAATAAATAAAAATCTTAAAATTTCTTTAAATTACACTTAGACCTCTTATTATAACTTTGGCCCACTCTGAAGCTCAGCTAGAAATAGTTGCAACTTGTGGAGCGTAGGTGGGCTGTGCTCTGAGGCTGTTTTTGAGGGCACTGCACACTGAATCACAGAGTGTCGCATTAGGAGAACAAGTAGAAGAGATGTGGCCATAGTCTCAGCGCTGGACCTGCCAGCATAGGAGAAACTAGCATATTTTCATTTTTTGGATGTAATTGTGAATGTTGTTATTGGTTCTATTTTTCTTTTGGCTTAGGCTGCTAGGAAACTCAGATCCATACATGTGAAGGTTTTTCCCAGATTTTGTTTTGCTTTCTTTTTATTCCTTTTCCTTCCTATTTTTCCCTCCAGATGCACCGGATGCACGACCTGTTTACCATCGGCAGCGGGGAGGCCATGTTGCAGCTCATCCCTCCCTTCCAGTGCCGAAGACACTGTCAGTCCGTGGCCATGCCAGTAGAACCAGGGGATATCGGTACGTAAGGCCCCAGGAGGGCAGTCAGCCATGGGACCATTACACACACTCACACACGTACACATGCACACACACACGCACGCACACAGATATATCTCTATCTCCATATGTATATATATGAAAGGCAGAGTTACAGATAGAGGGAGAGAGATCGTTCATCTGCTGGCTCACTCCCCAAGTGGCTGCAATGGCTGGGGCTGGGCCAGGCCAAAGCCAGGAGCCAGGAACTCCATCTGGGTCTCCCGCCTGGGTGGCAGGGGCCCAAGTATTGGGCCATCTTCTGTTGCGTTTCCAGGCTCATTAGCAGGGAGCTGAATTGGAAATGAAGCAACAGGACCCGAACTGGTGCTCAGATAGGATGCTGGCATCACAGGTGGTGGCTTAACCTACTTCACCACAACACAGGCCCTGGGATCATTTTAGTTTTCAATTCAGAAAGTATTCTCAAAGTAGCCTTCTCTTATTAACACAGGCATTGTTCATACTGAGAGATGGAACAGTAATGAGGAAATGTGGCAGAGAAAACCATCATGTACATGCACCATTCAGAACACCCACGTCTGTTGGTCATAGAAGCTGGTGTTCGGAAGGAATTCTGGGAAATACTTGACGAATCCCTCATTCTACAGATGAGAGATGAGGAGGCTGAGCCCCAGAGAGGGAAGCAGCCATCCCAAGGCCCCACTGTCAGGCAGGGCATCAGGTCTAAGTGTGTGCTTGAGCACAGGCCAGGGGAGGGACAGTGCAAGATGAGAGGAAACCTTTCGTGTGCCCGTTTCCCAGAAGAGGCAGTGCAAAGCAGTAAGTACGAGCAGCAGTCACACAGGAAACCAGAGCCAGGCCATAGATTCCTGTTGGTGACTCACCCAGACTCTGGCTCCATGTTTTCCCACCTGTGACTCGTCCTGTGCCTTATTTCCTAAAAATGTGTTCCAAAGAAATAGGTTTGCCGCAGCTGCTGTCAGCAGCAGTCAGTTTGACAGCAGGTTTTCTTGGCAGAAGCGTGTTCTTGTCAGTCAACCAGCGTCACCACTGACCTCCTGGTTCTTCCTGCCTCACAAAGCCGTGGCAAGGCCTGGAGTCCCGGTAGAGCCCGGACGGGTTTTCCAATAGATGGCTTTTAGTTTGATTCATTCAGAAGACCCCCAGATCCCTAGAAACTTTGACCTCAACCGGGGATAGGGAGCAGACAGCAAACTACAACCAGGCTGTCATCCAAGTTACGTAACTTTTATTTCAGTTTAGGAATGGAAATAAAAATAATGCAAAGATTAAGTATTCACCAGTAATGGAGTGCAGCTGGCCTGGCCCTTGGGAAACTCCTCCAAAAAAGTGGATTCTTGTGTTGGACAATGTTCTAAACCTGTTTTCTTGCATTGGAGTGACCCTTACATGAGGGATGACTATTGCAACACTCTGTCCGATATGTTGGGTTTGCCGTGTGTGGCTGTGCTTGAACAAGTTTCTGTCCTAAGTTCTCACACAGTGCAGAGACACCGTGTTATCGGAATTCCGGATCTCCAGCTCCCATTGCATCCAGAATGCCCGCTACAGAATTAAGAAAAAGAAGGAAAAGTGTCTGGTAGTGGGCAGGGAAGCTCTGAGTATCAGATGCTGGTGCAGACGGCCCGAGTAGCCCCTAGGCCAGAGTGCGGTCTTTGCTGTGCTGCGACTGGCCGGTGTGCTGACCAGAGGGCACGCAGCCTGCGGCTGGCAGCGTCTGTGAAAGGCCAGCCACACGATGGTCATACGGAACAGGGAGGGGAGACATAAGAGGAGAACGAGCCTCAGAGGGCTAAGGTGGGGAGAGCAGCAGGCGCCTGGAACTCTGGCCAGAAGAGAAGTAGAACTTAGACCCCAACAAGGGAGAAGAGTACTGTGCTCAGTGCCTGTGGGAATTTGGCAGCTCTAGTGCACTATTGAGTTATCAGAGAGAGACAGAGAGCTCCTATCTGTTGGTTTACAATGGCCCAGGGCTGAGCCAGGCCAAAGCTGGGGGCCAGGAATTCAGTCCCGGCCTCTCACATGGGTGGCTAGGACCCAAGCCCTTTGGCCTTTGCTGCTGTCTCCCAGGGTCTGCATTAGAAGGAAGCTGGAGCTGGAGCTGGAGCCAGCATCAAATGCAGGTTCTCTGCCGTGGAAAGCAGCAGCTGCACTGCTGAGCCTGTGGCGAACAGGGCAGGAGTCCGCTGCCCTGGGGAGATGCCTGCCTGGTCGGCGCACAGATCACAGTCGTGCGCCACAGACTCCAGAACACTGTGCAGGAGCCTAGTGCTTCTCAGACTTACTCGGCACGGAACCCATTCTCCCTGGGCTACTGAAAGACATTGCCATCTGCAGAACTCGGGAAATGCTGGTTTAGGCTCCTCTGGTAGTTCGGTAGTGAAACCGTATGTCAGGTGCTGTCAGGAGAGTTGGCTGGAGGGTCTTGCCTCTGTCTGCTTGCTGAGAAAGCTGAAGTCCGCCTCACCCAGAGCACCCTGCCTCTGTGAACCCAGCTGCCCTGGAGAGAGCAGCTGGTAGAGTTCTGGTTCCGAGTGGCTCCTGTTGGGCTGTCAGGTTTCAGGCACACTTAGGTTAAAGCCCTTCAGAGCAAGAACCGCTTTTGAGCCCGGTTCCGCATGAGGCTCACCTGGCAGCCCCCGCCTTGCTCTTGGCTGCAGGCCTGTCCAGCCCCTGACACTCACATGCTGTCCTGTTGCTGTTTCCCCACTAGGCTATGCCGGCGCCTCCCACTGGAAGGTCTACATTATAGCCAGAGGGGTGCAGCCTTTGGTCGTCTGCGATGGAACCACTGTCTCAGAACTATAGGAAGCGGAATTCTATGCAGCTTTGAGAGCTGAAGGCCAGATTGAAAGAGGGAAAATAAAAACAAGCGCTGAAACCACTGTCCAGGGGTTGGTCACTGAGTTCCCTGCCCTTTGCATGTGCGTGTGAGCCAGCTGTGTGCTGGAGGCAGGAGCCAGGACCTCGCCAGCCCCCGTCTGTGAGACTGAACTCTTCCCAGCCGCTGGGCTCGGTGGCCTGGAGGCTGCCCCAGGCAGGAAACAGGGCTGGTGCCTGCCTCCGCTCGCCCAGGCGCCGTCCCCACTGCCGTTTCCCTGGCCATGGAGAGGACAGCCCGCAGGGCCGGCGTCACAGCCACCCATTACCAGGGGGCCTGCTCGTGCCCCTTCCTGGCCACATCGCCCTGTACTTGTGCAGAAGGCTGACTCAAGAACTCTGCGGTTTATCAAGCAGAATGGAATCCAGAACCAGCGGGGGGGAGGAACAAAACATCCAATAACCTCACTGCACGCGGGAGCTACGCTCCTTTCCCGGTGTCCGTGTGCAGTGTGAGTCCTGAGGGTCTCTGTCCGCTTCATCGGGGTCTGACGCCGCCCCCCTCCCTTGCCTGTCTCCAGAGCTCAGCCTCTCATGCCCTCCCTTGGCCGGGCCGCAGCCCTTTCCCGCTGAGGCAGCACTGCTCCTGCGGCCCATGCTGCCTTGATCGAGTGTCTTCCCCGGGGAGAGGGCGCCTCCCTGGGTTTGATCTTTAGGGTCTGACTTGTGCAGAGAAAATGTTTTACAGATGTGTCACAGCTGATGTGATGTGGCTGGGGGAAGAACTCCAGGCCCAAAGCACTTGTCAGCCGGGCCTGCAACTGACTTTGTGATCCTCTGTCTCAACACGATGTCCCCCTTCGTCCTGGGGAACCGGGGGAGGTGGTTTTATTTTTGTAATGCTATATAAAGCTCTGTTGTGATTGGCTGATGGACTGTGCTCATTGTCTCCCCGTGCTTTGGTAACGAAGCGCAGCAGTTGGAGCAGTCTGGCCTTGCTCCCCTCTCCCACCATTCCCTTATTGATGCTGCTGCATACCTGGCCACTGACCAGGCCATCACCAGCACAAAGAGGAAAACACTCTATGGCCTGTGGTTCTGAAGCACAGAAATCCAATGCTACAATGGGTGCTCTGTCCGAGGTAGGGAGCCAAGTGGACAGTGATGAGGAAGGGTGGATGGACCCTTTTATTTTTTTTTTTTTTTAAGATTTATTTATTTATTTGAAAGGCGGAGTTACAGAAAGAAAGAGGAAGAGACAGAGACAGGTCTTACATCCCCTGGTTCACTCCCCAAATGGCCACGACAGTGCTGAGCTAGTCCAAAGTCAAGAGCCAGGAGCTTCTTCCAGGTCTCCCACATGGGGGCAGGGGCCCAAGCACTTGGGCCATCTTTCATGGCCTTCCCAGGCCATTAGCAGGGAGCTGGATTGGAAGTGGAGCAGCTGGGACACAAACCAGTGCCCATGTGGGATGCCGGCACTGCCAGTGGTGGCTTTACCCGCTACGCCACAGCCCGGCCCTTTGTGCACTGCCTGAGCAGCAGCAGGGGCCGCTCTGGGCTTGATGAGCCTACCAGTGGGTCTGTAAAGGACAGGCAGAGTTCACGAGGCTTCGGGAGGAAACGCACGGAGCCTCCTCCGTGGCTTAAACAAACCAGGATGAGCCGTTCCTGAGGGATTTCTCCTTAAAAGAGTCAGTCCCTTGTGTGCAGTAATACGGGGAAAACAAAACTGTTTGTACGTATAAAAGTCATGCTTCTAAGAGCAGTTGTGATTTAAGAGGTTTGCAGTCAGCGGGATCATCCGGGGGCCAGCTCTGGGCAGGCCCCGGGCTGGGCCTGCCCAGCAGTTCTTCAGGGGCCTCTGCAGTTCTGAACGAGACCCTTTGACCTCACAGAAGAGAGCCTCCCGTGAGGAAAGCAAGCGTTTTGATGATTGAGGTGTCCGCCGCGCTCTCTGTGAATCAGCTTTGTGTTCCTTCCCTGTTCACTCCTGTCCTTCACGTCTGAAGTATCCGTAAAACACTCACTTCAGCTCAAAAACTTGGAGGAGGAAGAAATTCCTGCTCGTGCTGATGTTCTGATCTACCCCGCTGGGAGGTCCCCTAAGCCCCCGAGCTGGTCAGTGTTTCTTTAAAAAAATAAAATAAAATAAATAAAAGGTTTTATTGATTTATTTTGAAAGAGTTACAGAGAGAGAGGGACAGAGCGAGATCTTCCATCTGCCGGTTCACTCCACAAATGGCTGCAATGGCTGAGGAGCTGGGCTCATCTGAAGCCAGGAGCTTCTTCCGGGTCTCCCACGTGGGTGTCCGGGGTCCAGGCACTTGGACCATCTCCCACTGCTTTCCCAGGCCATCAGCAGGGAGCTGGATCAGAAGTGGAGCAGTTGGGACTTGCATGGGATGCCGGCACTGCAGACGGTGGCTCCATGTGCTTCACCACAGCACTGGCCCCGCTGGTCTGCATTCAGCCAAGAATGATCATAGCAGAAGATACAGCTAAAGATAACGACTGCAGATACTGCTCATCGCACTCAAACTCTGTCCCTCTGGGACTTGAGTGTAGATTTGGGTTCGAGAAGAAATTCCCCACAGGGGGTTTCTGCTCTTCCTGGATAAGCAGGAGGGAATCAGTCACCTGATAAGGTCGTGATGAGCAGACGGTACCTGGGGCCAGTTCTGCAGGAGTGACTGGGGTTTGCCACCTGCCCCTTTGTAGTTACCTGAGAGTTTGTGGCGGCTCCAGCTCCTGGCCTCTGACAGATGCAGCGAGTCTGCGTGCATGAGCCAGTGTAGGAAAGAGCATCGTCGGGATGGCAAGTGGGGCCTGGGGGCCGTGGAAGGACCACCTTGCCAGCCCCCCGCCTCCATTACCGAATAAGGCCAAAACCACAGGGCTCTGAAAACAGCAACCTGCTTATGTTTTTATCTAGTGTTTACCAAGAGGTCATGTGACAGGGACCCACCTCTGCACACGGGCTAGGGTCAGTACCATGGGTCTCCACGGCAGAGACACAGGTTCCCAGAAGTCAGCTGTCTGGGGAGACCGGCTGCTTTGGCGCCAGTCAGAAGCACGGATGTCCAAGTGTCCTGAGCTCTCCCACAGTCCCACGTTGAATGAATACCACACCTGTTCTGGTCTATGAAAGAGTGCTCATTGTCCCCCCCCACCCTTGTTAAGGGACAGAAAGGAATACACTAACAGTCATCAATGAAGACGCAATCTACCTGCTTGCTAAAATACAAAGCAGTCTGTGACTTGGGTGTGGGTGACATTTGTCCCAGTCTGTTCCAGCTTACCCAGTGCCTGCACACACATGACCTCCGCTAACTCACCTCTCCAGCAAAGCAGATACTAGATGCCCATGTTGCCAGGAAAGGCCCTGCGGCTTAGAGCAGTGAAGTGCTGGCAGGCAGGCCATTGGTTCCACAGCACTCATCACAGTGAGACGGCCTCGAGCCAAGCTGGGCTTCATTGACGGGTGTGCCCCACGCGGGCGGGAGGAGCGAGGGCTGAGGCTCAGCCAGCCAGGAACTCTGTGCAGTTTGTTTGCAAAACTTCTGGACAGAAATGGGGGAAGAAAGAATCTAACCATATGACTTTTATAAACCTTTCACTTTTCCCTCCCTATTTGAAACCTTTTTGCAAGAGGGAGTGGGGCTGGAATTACAACTATCCAGGCATTTTCCCGTCACCATGTTTCCAGATGTTTGACCAGAGGAGAAACTCAACCCAGTTCCAGCTGTGAATCTCCTTGGAATTTGCATCACTTGTTTTTCAGTGCTCAGCTTTTTTTATTTTTTTATTTTTTTAAGATTTATTTGCTTATTCAAGGGGCAGCATTACAGAGAGGAAGAGAGAGAGGTCTTCCATCTGCTGGTTCACTCCCCAAATGGTTACAACAGCCAGAGCCGGGCCGATCTGGAAGGAGGAGCTTTTTCTAAGTCTCCCGTGGGAGTGCATGGGCCCAAGCATTTGGGCCGTCCTCTGCTGCTCTCCCAGGCCATTATCAGAGAGCTGGATTGGACATGGAGCAGCTGGGACTCAAACCAGCGCCCATACAGGATGCTGGCACCGCAGGTGGAGGCTTAGCCTGCTTTGTCACAGCGCCAGTCCCAAAATCCAGCACAGGCATTTGTGTAGGAAGAATTTCTTTTTTAAGATTGACTTATTTGAAAAGAGTTAGGGAGGGAGAGGGGAGAAGAGAGAGGTCTTCCATCCACTGGTTCACTCCCCAAATGGCTGCAATGACAGGGCTGGGCCAGGCCAAAGCCAGGAGCCAGGAGCTTCTTCCAGGTCTCCTATATGGCTGCAGGGGCCCAAGGACTTGGGCCATCTTCCACTGCTCTCCCAGGCACATTAGCAGGGAGCCGGATCAAAAGTGGAGCAGCTGGGACTTGAACTGGCACTCATATGGAATGCTGGTACTGCAGATGGTGGCTTATAGCAGGGGACCCAGGAAGAATTACTTTTAAAACAGAATTTCAAGTTCTTAGCTGCAGGTGACGGCTTTAGTCATTTTGATATGGTCTGTAGCGAGTGTACTCATCCCCTAGTGCCTTCCAGAGTGAACAGTCAGGTCCCAGAGCAAATGTTTGCTTCTCATCGCCTTCCAGAGAAGGCCCAGTTGTGGGGGAGAAGTGGGGGGGGGGGGGGCACGTGCCTGGTGGCACAGAGAGCCGTGTTTTTTTTTTTGTCTCCTGGGAATCACTCATTACACAGAGGGGGTGGTGGGTTTCTGAGCTCGCTTGGCAGTGGAGGAAACACTCCCCGGAGTACACCAGCTGCACACTCACTGCCCCTCAGAGCTGGCCCGTCACCCACCAGAGACTGGCACCTGCTTTACAAAGGGTTGGAGGCTGTGAGTCTCCGTGTTCGGGCCTGCAGATGTGTGCAGAGCCCACGCGTGGGCCAGGGCCGCGAGGCTGGGAAGGTGGAGCACTGGGAACGTGCCGAGTCCCCATCAGCGGGCACATGCTTGCCCTCCTCACCCCACCCTCCAAATACCCAGCAGCCTCTGGCACAAGCACGTCACGGGGATGGACAGGGGCTTGCCCTCTTGCGCTCCGCAGCTGCGGCCTCGCGACCTGGACGCAGTGTGACTTTGAGTGCTGGCCCCGGTGAGAAGCGCTGCAGCCAGCTTGTCTGTGGTCCAGGTCCCTCGGTGTCTGGTTTCCCTGCCCTGCATAATTGAAGCATTAGAGCTAAATCCATCTGTCATTTTCCTCTCTCCGGAGACCGCGGAGTGTCCAGACTTTTTCAGACTGGTGGGGAGAAGGAATGTTATGTAACTGCAACGGAGACCTGGAACTGCTGGCCGCCGCAGGACCGGGCCAGAGCCCCTTCTGCCCGTCTCGGTACCGCTGTGTGTCAGGGCTGCGGCCATCAGTCTGAGAACAGCCGAGGCTGCATGCACCTGTGCTGGGAAGGGAACCCCGCGAGTTCTGAGGTTGAGGCAGAAACTGGGGAGCTGGGACATCTGCTGTGTCCTGGCTTCCTTCACCTGTCCCTGCTCAAGCGGCCCCCTGGGACAGGTGGCTCCTGCTGTGCAGCCCCTCCCTTTCGGGAGCAGACGCTGACCCGTGAGAATCAGCGCCAGGAGCCCACAGGTACCCGTGTAGAGACAGTTTGCCCTTCACACTTCTTTCCATGGTGTGGCCTTCCTCCTCCCATCATCTCCCTCATGTGGGAAGCAGCAGACACCCAGGGTCGGCAGGGGAGGGCTGGAGAGGCACAAGCAAGCTAGGGGCTCAGTGCGCAGCCACACACCTGGCCCCGCCCCCTGCCAGCCACAGGGACAGGAGCGGGGAGAGCTGCAGCTCAAGTTCAGGGGGCCAGAGTGTGGTGGGCCTGGAGGGCGCAGTGAGCGCAGGCAGGCAGACCCCTGTCCCAGCTGCGGGTGCTCAGAAGGGCCTGAGCTGTTTTGTACGACCAAATGTACAATGTTTATATATATATAATTATTTATATATAAAATTTTCTATATATTTTATATAATATATATATAAATTTTTTACCTTGTCTACCTGGCTCCCCCAGCGCACCTGCTTGCCCTCACAGCCTCCTCATGCCTGCCCTGGCCTTTCCCCCGCAGTGGCTTCTGATCTGGGTTCTCAAAGCCTCATTCCCCTGTGAGGACTCTACCCTGGCCGGGCACTTTAACCAGAATGCGAAGGAGCCCCTGGGTGCCGTTCTGCTCCCCGCCAGCTGGTTGCACATGGCCCCGGTGCCCTCACAGTGGCTCCTCCCCCGCGGGGACACTTGGTTCTCACAGGAGGACAGCCAGGCCCCTGGGGAAGAGCCCAGACCCTCTTGCTGGATCACCCCAGTGGCTACCAGTTAACAGGCCAATCGGCACTCGTGAGCATTTCACTTAAGCCATTTTATGTGCTCATATATATGTTATTTGGCAATTTCCCGTTTATGTGCCCAGTTTATATAATTGCATAAATAGGACCATTTCTTACAGAAGATGTGCTGTCCTATCTTCCTGCATTCTTCCCTTCTTCGCCACATCCCCACTCTCCTTTCCCGGGCCACAAAGCACGTTACACACCCAGCCATAGCCGGCCCTGGCGCCTCCCGCAATTTCCAAGCTCTCCAGCCATCACCACGATAAGGCTCTGTCCCCGCCTCACCAAAGAGGGGCCGGTGTCACAGACACTGTGCCTGGCCTTGCTTACCCACCAGCTCATGGGGTCCCCTGCAGGTCAGCTGTGGGGCTCGAAGCCGTTGTTGTCCAGTGGTTAACGTGCCGTGAATCCATCATCGCTCTCCATCTCTTCTCTTGCTGACCGGAAGGCACTTCCTGCTAAGTGACTGTTTGGATTCCTGATTGAGAAGTCCAGAGTCTGTTTATTTGTTTAAGAGACAGCCCACGAAAGAGACCATGAGAGCTCCATTTGCTAGTTTACTCCCCAGAAGCCACAGTGCTCCCTGTCCCCCAGGGCCCAAGCAGAGACCCGGGAACTGAATTCAGGTCTCCTGCGTGGGTGGCAGGAACCCAGTGACGTGAGCCATCACCACTGCCTCCCAGGAAGCCGCGTCAGGAGCAGAGCCAGGTGGGGAGCCCGGGGCGGGGGGGGGGGGGGCAGGGCCCTACTTGGCGTCTCACCCTCGGAGTTAATTTTTTTTTTTTACAGGCAGAGTTAGAGAGAGAGAGAGACAGAGAGAAAGGTCTTCCTTTTCTGTTGGTTCACCCCCCAAATGGCCACTAAGGCCAGTGCGCTGTGGCCAGCGCGCTGCGCCAATCTGAAGCCAGGAGCCAGGTGCTTCTCCTGGTCTCCCATGTGGGTGCAGGGCCCAAGCACTTGGGCCATCCTCCACTGCACTCCCAGGCCACAGCAGAGAGCTGGACTGGAAGAGAAGCAACTGGGACAGAATCCGGCACCCCAACCAGGACTAGAACTCGGGGTGCCAGCGCCGCAGGTGGAGGATTAGCCTAGTGAGCCGCGGTGCCGGCCTTGGAGTTAATTTTTGAAGCACTTGTTTTTACATTCTTGTCTGTCCCAGCCCTAACGCACGTTCTTCAAACGTCGTTCCACTCCGCAGCCCTGTCCATCCACCTGCCTGAAAGCTGGACTTCGACAGCACGGCAGGGTTTGAGTCCAGCAGCCTCTTTTCAGCCCAGATCTACTGAGAGCCGTCCCCTCCCCCGGCGGCTGGGACACTCGCCCCCCTCTTCCGGAGCTGGAGCGTCTGCCTGTCTGGGAACCACTGGCCTCCCCACAGTTCTGCCCTCTGGTCTTCCTTGTCTGGGGTGCGCACACTCTCTCTGGGGGGGTCTCAACCCTGTCTTCTCTCCCTGCCTGGGGCACTCACCTCAAGGTCACGGTGGCTGCCCCGCCAGCACTCTAGAGCACCTCCCGCTCACCATGTCCAAAGCCCCGGCAGCTCCTCTCCTTCTGGCTGCCACTTTTGATCGGGACGGAGCTCGGCAGAACCCTGCCTCCTTGTCACCTGTCCAGCCCCCGGCTGCTGCCTGGGGACCTGTCAGGACCAGACTCTGCCCATAACCACTCTGTTTCTCCGTGCATGACCCCCATCCCACTCCGCTGTCCATGTAGCTGCCAGGATGACAGTTCTAAAGCCCCGCCCCCCACCGTGGCCCACAGGAGAAGCCCTGGGGGCCCCTCCAGCCTCTTCCACCCCTTGCCCCTGCTTGCCCTCATTACCAGACCCCACCTCACTGGCCCATCACAATTCCTGGAGAAGTCCAGGCAGGGGCTTTGTTTGCTAGTTTTAATAAACTTTATTTTCTAGAGCCGTCTCAGCTCCATAGCAAAATTGAGTGGCGGCACAGTGAGTTCCTGTGTAGGCCGGGTCGTCACACAGGCATTGCGTCCTCTACTAGCATCACAGCAGAGTGACGCACTTGTTGAAATCGGTGGGCCAGGGGCCGGTATTGTGGTGGAGTGGGTTAAGCTACCACCTGTGATGCCAACATCCCATATGGGCATCCATATGCCAGCATCCTGACTGCTCCACTTCTGACCCAGCTCCCTGCTGATGTGCCTGGGAAAGCAGTAGAGGATGGCCTAAGTGCTTGGGCCCCTGCACCCATAGGGGAGACCCTGATGAAGCTCTTGGCTCCTGGCTTTGGCCTGGCCCAGCTCTGGCCATTGCAGCCACTTGGGGAGTGAATGGGAGATCTCCTCTCTTTCTCTTTGTCTTTCCCTCTCTCTATATAACTCTACCTTTTAAATAAATAGATCTTTTTAAAAAAGGTGAATAAATAAAATCGGTGACCCTGCAGTGGCACATTGCCACCACCCAAAGGCCACAGTCCAGACTTGGCCGACACCACGCTTGCTGTTGTAGTCTCTTGGTTTGGACAACCGTGTGACTGCACGAATCTACTGAGAGATGGTGCCGCGTGTCCGAGTGATTTCACCACCCGAAAACCCTCTGGGCCCCACCTGTCCTGCCTGTCTCCCCTCTAACCCTTGGCAACCACTGAGCTTTCTGTTTTCTCTTAGTTTTGTCTTTTCCAGAATTCCAGGGAGTCGGAATCACGCATAATCTGTCCTTTTCAGCCGCTCGCTTGGCACGGTGTATGTAAGGTTCCTCCCTCTTTTCAGGCTCGACAGCTCACTGCGTTTGCACACTGAATATGAACATTCCCTTGTCTGGATGGACCAGAAGGTGCCATCCGTTCATCTGCTGAAGATGTCGTGGTTGCTTCGCAGTTTGGGCAGTTATGAATAAAACTATGTTTAGCTTTGTGTCAAAGCATCACATTGTCTTCCAAAGAGGCTACAGCGTTTCACGTTCTCACCAGCAAGACTGGGAGTTCCTGCTGCTCCACAGCCTCACCAGCACTGGGTGTCGTCAGTGTTTCGGGTTGTAAGCATTCCTTTTTTTTTTTTTTTTTTTAAGATTATTTATTTATTTGAGAGGTAGAGTTACAGACAGTGAGAAGGAAGAGAGAGAGAGAGAGATCTTCCATCTGCTGGTTCACTCTCCAATTGGCCGCAACTGCCAGAACTGAGCCAATCCGAAGCCTGGAGCCAGGAGCTTCTTCTAGGTCTCCCAGATGGGTGCAGGGGCCCAAGCACTTGGGCCATCTTCTACTGCTTTCCCAGGCCATAGCAGAGAGCTAGATTGGAAGAGGAGCAGCTGGGACTAAAACCAGTGCCCATATAGGATGGCAGCGCTGCAGGCAGAGGATTAACCAACCTACTGTGCCACAGCGCCGGCCCCGAGTTGTAATCATTCTGAAAGCTGTGTAGTGGGATCCTGATGATGTTTGAATTTGCATCCTCCTGATGATGTATGATGTGGGGGAACTCTCCACATACTTACTTTCCATCTATGTATCTTCACTGAGGAGTCTGCCCAGGCCTTTTGCTCATTGTTAATAAGTTTGTTTTTGTTTTTGTTTTGACAGGCAGAGTGGACAGTGAGAGAGAGAGAGAAAGACAGAGAGAAAGGTCTTCCTTTTGCCGTTGGTTCACCCCACAAATGACTGCTGCAGCTGGCGCACCACACTGATCCAAAGCCAGGAGCCAGGTGCTTCTCCTGGTCTCCCATGCAGGTGCAGGGCCCAAGCACTTGGGCCATCCTCCACTGCACTCCCTGGCCACAGCAGAGGCTGGACTGGAAGAGGGGCAACCAGGACAGAATCCGGCGCCCCGACCGGGACTAGAACCCGGGGTGCCAGCACCACAGGCAGAGGATTAGCCTACTGAGCCACGGTGCCGGTCAAGTTTGTGTATTTTTATTTGAAAGAGCAACAGACAGAGAAAGGGAGATTTCTTATTCGCAGGTTCACTCCCACACAAGCGCTCAACAGGGGCCAGCGCTGTGGTGTAATAGGCTAAGCCTTTGCCTGCAGCATCGGCATCCCATGGGCACCAATTCAAGTCCTAGCTGCTCCACTTCTGATCCAGCTCTCTGCTGATGGCAGACGTTTTCCTATTGTTAAGTTTTAAGACTGCTTTCTATATTTAATGCAGCAGTTCTTTATCAGATGTATCTTTTGCAAGCTTTTTTCCGGTCTGGTTTGTATTCTCATTCTCTCTCTCTCTCTCTTTTTTTTTTTTTTTTTTGTTTTGACAGGGCAGAAGTGGACAGTTGAGAGAGAGAGAGACAGAGAGAAAGGTCTTCTTTTTGCTGTTGGTTCACCCTCCAATGGCCACCGCGGCCAGCGCGCTGCGGCCGGCGCATTGCACTGATCCGAAGCCAGGAGCCAGGTGCTTCTCCTGGTCTCCCATGAGGGTGCAGGGTCCAAGCACTTGGACCATCCTCCACTGCAGTCCTGGGCCACAGCAGAGAGCTGGCCTGGAAGAGGAGCAACCGGGACAGAATCCGGCGCCCTGACCGGGACTAGAACCCCGTGTGCCGGCGCCGCAAGGCGGAGGATTAGCCTAGTGAGCCACAGCGCCGACCTTCTCATTCTCTTATCATTGGCTTTTGCAAAGCAGAGTTTTTTAATTTTCATGAAGTCCAGCTGATCAATGGTTTCTTTCATGGATTTTGCCTTTGGTATTGTCATCTCCATCTCCATACCCAGGAACATCTCCTCTGTCACCTTTTTTAAAAAAAGATTTTTATTTACTTATTTGAGAGGTAGAGTTACACACAGAGAAAGGGAAAAACAGAGAGATCTTTCATCCGCTGGTTTACTTACCAAATGGCTGCAACAGCTGGAGTTGAGCCGATCCGAAGCCAGGAGCCAGGAGCTTCTTCCAGATCTCCCACACAGGTGCAGGGGCCCAAACACTAGGGCCATCATCTACTGCCTTCCTAGGCCTTAGCAGAGAGCTGGATCAGAAGAGGAGCAGCCGGGACTTGAACTGGCGCCCATATGGGATGCTGGCAGTGCAGGTGGAGGCTTAGCCCACTACACCACAGCGTTGGCCCCCTCCTCTGTCACCTTCTAAGAGTTTGAGTTTGGTGCTTACATTTCGATCTATTCTGAGTCGATTTTTGTGAACGGTGTAAGTACGGTCTATGTCTGGATTATTTTTTAAGCTGATTTCCAGTTCTAGCACTGCTTGGTGAAGAGACCCTCTCTGCTCCCTTGTTATGTGCTCTGCTCCTTTGTCAAGCACCAGCTGACTGTATTTGTGTGGGTCTGGGCCTGGCTCTCTGTCGTGTTCTGTGGCTCCATTCATCCCCTCTCTTGCCTTCAATACGGTAGGTCTTCAAGTTGTGCAAGGCCAGGCCTCCACTATGCTCTTCTTCAATACTGAGTTCAATATTTGGAATCTTTTGCCTCCCTGCTTAAATGCTGGAATCAGTTTGTCAATATTCACAAGATAATTTACTGGGATTTGGATTTGGATTCCACTGAATTCATAGAGGAAGCGGCTTCCGGGATGTTTTAAGTAGAAATTCTGATTCCTATCCCATGAGGATATGTTTTAACTTGAATATGTCATTCTTTGCTTTGTTTGCCTTCCATCTTATTACTGCACATTCTTTCGACGTGACACATGTCCTTCAT